GAATAGTCCTCCTTAGTGATGACCCCTCCTTTCCATTGGGAGTAAGCCTCCTTTTTGGCAAGGAGACATTCCCGGATGTTTTTAGTGAGCCATGGAGGCTTATATGCTCTCCTGCCCCCTTTGACCCTCCTGGGGATTACCTTCCTCTGGGCTTGGAGGATCGTCTCTTTAAGGAGTGACCACTCCCCTTGGACACCCGGCTCCCCTCCCCTCTGAGTCTTCAGTGCTTCTCCAACTATCCTCCTTAGCTCGTTGAAGTTTGCCCTCCTAAAATCTAGGGCCACCACCTGACTGCTTGCCTTTGTTACCTTACGCTGAATCGTGAATTCTAGCAGGCAGTGGTCACTGTCGCCCAGGGGCTTTAGCAAGGTTTTTGACACTATCTTCCATGACATTCAATTAACAAGCTAAGAAAGTATAGTCTAGATAAAGGTATTATAAGGTGAATTCAAAATTGGTTGGATCATCATTCTCGAGTAGTCATTAATGGCTGAATATCTAGTTAAGAGGAGGTATAAGTGTAGTTCCCCAGGGGTCTGTCTTGGGTCCTGTATTGTGTCACATCTTCATTAATTATTTAGATGATAGGATTAAGTGTACACTTAGCAAATATGTGGATTACCCCAAGTTGCTGAAGTTGCAGACACTCTGGAGGGCAGGATCCAGAATGACCTGAATAAGCTGGAGAACTGATCCGAAATTGATCAAAAGAAATTCTGCAAGAACAAATGCAAAGACCTGCACTTGGGACAGAATATAATATAATGTAAATACAGACTGAGGAATGATTGGCTGGGCTGCAGCAGTGCAGAGGAGGGTCTGGGGGTTACAGTAGACCATAAGTTGAACATGAGCCAACAGTGTGCTCTTGTTGCCAAAAAATCCAGAAGCATACTCGGTTATATTGACAGAAGTTCTCTTGCAAATTAAGGGAAGTGATTCTTCCACTCTTCAGTATTGCTAGGCCTCTCCCAGAGTATTGTGTCCAGTTTTGGGACCCACACTTCAAAAAGGATACGGACAGATTGGAAAGACTCTAGCAGAGTGTGGCAAAAATGTTAAGAGTCCTGGGAAGCATGACTTACGAAGACAGGCTGAAAGAACTAGGATTATTTAGTCTGGAGAAGAGAAGACTCACGTGGCGGAGGAGGCACTAACAGTCTTCAGATACCTGAAAAGCACTTATAAAGCGGATGCAGATAGGCTTTTCTCTGTGGCTGCACGGGACAGAAGCAATGACCTCAGACTGCAGCAGAGGAAATTTAGGTTGGGGGTTAGGAAGAATTTTCTGACCCTGAGAGTGGTCAAGTATTGGAATATTGGAGAAGTTGTAGACTCTCCATCCCTAGAAATTTTTAAGAGCAGTTTAGACAGACACTTGGCCAGGAAGGTGTAGTCAGGTATGATCCTGCCTTGAGTAGGGGCCTAGACTTAGGTGACCCTTTCTAGCCTTACATCCTTATGATCCTTTGGTCATAGGAAGCTATTCATGGACTGTGCTCCAGAAAAGCTTGTTTCCTCTTCTCCTAATTTCTTTACTGTTAGAACAGTAAGGCAGTAGAACAGACTGCCTAGGACAGTTGTGGACTGTCCATCACTGGAGGTGTTAAAGAAGAGGTTGGACAGCCAGTGGTTGGGGATGATCTAGGCATAGCTATGCCTGTGTTGTACTATAGATATTTCCCACACTCCTGGGGTTTGCTGGTTGCCTCTTGCTCCTCTTTCTGTGTTTCCTTAGGGTATTTCTGAGTCTTCCCTGAAGGCATTAGGTGTTGGCTGTAACCAAGACTGAGGATTTTGACTGGGGTGGGCTCCTCCTGGGACTTAAAGCCAGAGGTTCCTGGCTCCTAGTCATACCAAGCACCATATTTGGGGGCAGGGAGGAATTTTACTCCATGGTCAGATTGGTATGGACTGTGGGGGTTTTTGCCTTCTTCTGTAGTGGGGGTTGTGGCCCTCTACCTGGGATCTCTTGAAGAGGACATTGGCTGTCATGGTTCCTCTTCTTTATCTGTGGCAGGTTTTATGACTTTTGTCAGGGTTGACAGTAGTTATACAAAAAGTTTAAATTATGGATTGTATAAGATGTTTTGCATGGGGATGATTCTGCCTCAGTTAGGGGGTTGGACTAGATGACCCCTTTACATCCCTTCCAGCCCTGCTTCTCTCTGATTTCTGTGAGTCTTCTTTGTAATGAAGTGGCTTTGTATTTACAGTCACATATTACAGTGAAATGCTTTTGAGTGTAATAGGTACTGGCTTCCCTTGCCAACCACACGGGTTAGGTTCTTGAAAGTTCCTGTCTTTGGCAAAACTGTGGTTGGCAAAACTGGCAGGGCTGGGGGAGCAGGGGCTGTAGGTGGGGGGTGAGGGTACCAGCAAGGCTGTGGGGGTTGAAGAGGGGGATGGAGAGTGAGAGGCATGAGTAGGGCCAGGGGGCCCGTGGGGGGTATTTTCAGACTGTACACTCTCCCCTCCCCCCCCAGCCCTCCACCCTTTGAAGTATGGATACTCAAAACCATAGTTGGCAAGTGAAACCTGTATAAATTAGAGGTATAGGTATAAGTCTTCATTTCTCCTTTGCAAAGCACATTCTCTAGCTTTTATCAACCTAAGTCTAGATCATTCATCAGCATGTTTTCTAAGCACCAGATAAAAGCAAACAGATCTCCTTAGCCTTATTATATGGTATATGAGCATTTGTTTTAATGCTTGTTGTTGTTAATTGACAGATTCTCTGAACGGATCTTGGAAGGAAGGAGGATTTGTGCCTTCCAGTACCAGCAGCAGTGGATACTGGAGCTGGAGTGCTCCAAGTGATCAGTCTAATCCATCCACCCCTTCTCCACCTTTGTCTGCCGATAGCTTCAAACCTTTTCGAACACCTTCCCAGCCAGATGATGGCATTGATGAAGCTGAAACAAGCAACCTTCTCTTTGATGAACCCATCCCTAGGAAGAGAAAGGTTAGCCTTATGCTAGGTTCCATACAACTGTCTCCTGGGGATGTTATTAGACTGCGAAGGGGAGGATAAGGACAAAAGCCAGCATGAGCAGCTCTGTAAAGCATTTCAACAGAGGCAAAATCTCGCCATGGCACCCAGCTGACATGCAGGTCCACATACCATGTTCCCAGGGACCAAACCCAACTGAATCCAGTCCCATAGTACACCCACTGCCTGCCACACCACCTTGTTTGTGGAAGATGGCCAGGGTGTGTATATGTCCTGCTCAGAGAAGCAGCAACATGCTCCACAGAGGGTGTTGCCTCTGGCCTCTCAGGGGATTTCTGTCCAGCTTTGGCAAATTCTTTTGGTACAAGATGACCTGAGCAGCCTCTGCCCTTCCCGCTCCCCCCCCACCGCCCTGCTTTTGCTAGTACCTTGGCAGGATTTGACCCCTTATTTCTAGTTTGCTGAAATATGAAATTGTTAGTCTGACGGCATTATCAGGTGCCTGCATAATGTGAAACAGTCTCCAAACACACATTCAGGTGGAATAAAATCTGATGGTTTCCAGTATAGTGTCATTGGCCAAATTAATCCCTGGTGGAACTCCCCTGTAACCAGGAATACTCCACCAGGGATAAATGTGCCTTACTCACTACTGAAAAAATGAAACTAAACAAAATGCTTCAGAATGTAATGTAATTCTATCCTTTCCCCCCCCCGCCATCAATATGCCAGCAAGCAAATGCCTCTTGAAGAAAAAGAAAACAAAGAGATGGCATTAGTCCAAGCTTTTCTCTCTCCTAACGCAACAGGACAGATTTTATATAGCAAGATGAAACAGGGCTTTCTGTAAGGAAGAGAAAAACAGGGTATTTATTCATCTTTAGTGACTTAGTGTCTGGCTCAGACTGAGAGAGTTAATTGCTTCATGACCAGCAGGAAGAAGTTTTAATGATTGTTTAAATCTGATCAGATTTATCTCGTTTGCTACAGAAGTTGTTCATTTGCTAACCCACAACTGCTCTTGCTTTTGCTTTAGATATCACTTACGGGAGGGTGATATAAAATGCTGTTGCCTGTTGGATAGAGGTGCCTGTTGGATAAAGGTTATAGAGGTGTATTTATTAGAACATATTACAAGTTAGATAGTTACTAAAATAAATCCAGAAATTATTGAAGGGACCAGGGAGGGAGTGGAAATGCTGGTATGCTTTTAACTATCTTGTTAAAATTGTATGTATCATCACTCAGGCAGATGGTTTTAGAGATGCTGTTTTTATTGTTACCTAGGTTGTCTTTTTGGAGAGTACAGACATTTGATTATTCAGGCATTTTATATGTACCGAGGAACTGAGATGGTGCTTGTGATTTTCGGTCTGTACAACAAACATCAGATTTGCATAAGAATAATAGAATGTTCTACAACTGAATGCCACCACCTTCCCCCTCTCCAAGTCTTTTTACTCGGGTCCTTGGCTAGTACTTGTCTTACTATGAACTTGGAAAAGATACTACCTACAAGTTATTGGTCTTTCATATTGTCATTTCATAAAGCAAAACTGTAAAGATAAAGAGTGGCTGATAACATTACCAAATAAGTTAATGTCAAATTACCTCTGCTTCAGAGGATTGTGATTTGGAAAATATCACATGTTCTACCACCTCTTGCCAAGGAAGTTGAGTATATGTTTAACTTTTTACATTAATTCAGTTATTTCCTATCAAACATTCTTAATAGTTGAAGGGGTTTGTTATGACTACTATTTTTATGATAAAGCACTGGAGAATGATAAAGGAATTGCCTGAGCATTCTTGTTTCACTAAATTTGGAGAAGGTGAATTATTAGATAACCATATAACAATCATTTCTATAGAAATGGACTGTACCTGGGGAAAGTGGTACTTTCCTGAAAATAGGCAAGATATCATGGGATTTGATTTCAAACTAACTCTTGTTTTTTTCATATTCCCCTTGCTTACATCTGGTTATCTACATCAGAACATTGAAAACATAAAATAATAAATCTAAATAGGTATAAGGATCAGTGGGGTGTAGTCCTTAATAATTAGCACTGTTTGTACTTATAGCCTTATTTTCTAAGATGCCAAGCCTCAACAGGACCTGCTAATATCAAGAGACGCTGCAGGTTTATGCTTTTTAGAAATTCAGACCATTTGAACACTTGAGTGCTTTGAGCACTCAAGGGTCAAATTCTCCCTTTGCAGTCTGCCTCACAACTGAAGTCTGTGGGCTGCAAGGGCTTTAAAGGGTCTTTGAATCTGGCTTTCATTATTGGTTTTCTTTCAAAATTATCTTAGATGTGGTTTTTGTGCCAAAGAGATCCCACACTCCTCTAGCAGTTAAGATACTTTTATTGGGGCTGGCAGAAAGGAAAAGTCCCTTTCAAGTACAAGAAAAGTATAGTGGATATGATTTTTAAAAAATTCACATTTCTTGCACATCACTACTTATGGTATGTGTTGTAAAGACAGTGAGAAATGATGTGGCAGTTAAACCTACCACAGGCAATAAAGGCTGGTTATCATCTTCTCATGGTAAATGCTGTTCCCAGAGCGAGTTCTTCTGTAATGTTCTTAAAGAGCAATTACACAGACTGGTATAAAAACGGTTCCCTTACATCTTAGTCCCCAGCATCTCCAGTCCAATAATCAGTTGTGTTGCTTGCAGAGCCTAACCTGGTGGTTACAGTCTCTTGTCACTTTTACCTGGTCTATTAATGTTTTCACTGGAGAGTTAACTCAAGGGACTCAATCCAATTTATGCAGACTGGTTTTTTTGGCTACCTTCTTTATTCAAGGCATTTGAACATAAAATTATCAAGAATTGGCACGTCCCCATTGCTGAATGTCTATACTGCTCCCACTCCCAAAATCATTTCTAGTTGGTGAAAATTTCCCACTGCTAGAAATGAATGTTTGTACACAGCCTTAGGGGACTATTGTGATCATCTAGCCTGACCTCTGCATAACTCTGGTCATAGGACTTACCTGAATTAATTCTTGTTTGAATTGCATCATATCTTAGAAAAATATCCTTTTTGACTTCAAGTTTTCTACCGAAATAAAACTATCCTTAGCTCTTGGTAAATTGTTCAAATAGCTAAGTTACCTCACAGTTTGGTTTTTAGTTTTGGTCTGAATTTGTGTAGCTTCAGCTTTCAGCCACTGGATTTTTTCCCTGCTAGATTGAAGTGCCTATTATTGACCACCTAGGTTGCAATGCTAAAGAAAAGGAGCTGGGGATAATAGTCAACTACAAACTCAATGTGAGTCAATACTGTACCATTGCTGTAATAAAAGCAAAGAGTTTACTGGGACATATTAACAGAAATACCATGGGTATTTAGCACTGGTGAGGCCTTAGATGGAACACTTGAAGGCACTGCACTTCAAGAAGGAGATAGGCAACTAGGAGAGAGTCCAGTGGAGAGCAACATAAATGGTTAGAGGTCTTGAAAACATGACATATGAGGATAGGTTGGAAGAATTGGGGTTATTTAGTGTGGAAACGAGAAGACTGAGGAGTGATTTGATAATCCCTCAAATACAAAAAGGTTGTTATAAAGGGGATGGAAAATCAGTTGTTCTCCACAAAAACCACAAGAAGTACTGAACTTAAGGATCAACTACGGAGATCTAGCCTGAATACTAGGAAGAACTTTCCAACTATGGAGGTGGTGAACAAACTACCTGCTGAAGTTGTGGAACCTCTGTCAATTGAGTTTTTAGCTGTAGGGTAGACAAACATTTGTCTGGGACAGTTTGGAGAGGACTGATCCTTCCTTGAGCAGGGAGTTGGACTGGATGACCTACTGAAGTCTTGCCCTGCTTTTTTTTTTTTCTGAGGTTAAGTTTTGTCTCCATGAAGGTATTTACAAGGCAAGTCTACACAAGACACTAACTGCTCAGTAGCCGGCTAATACTGCGCCGTAATGCATCACAGCACAAACAATGCTAATACGCTACTGCACAGTATTATTAGGCTACTGCGCAGTAGCATCACTAAAAAGGTGTTTTTAGTGATGCTACTGCCACTTTTTCAGTGTGTTCTAATCCAAGCATTCACCTTGTATCAAATGTACGTAGTAGTAGAATGAGTTATTTATCCTGAAAAACAGCATGTGTTTCCATATGACCCCAATTAAAGAAAGCAAGAGGGTGGGATATTAAATCTTTTTGTACTCAGGACAGCACTTGGGCACATGTTTGACTTGAACTGTATGCATAAGTGCTGTTTTGAAGAAGATGCTTTTTCTGACTTGGGGCCTATATGAATACATTCATTTAATCTTACTTGAAACTAGATATAATAACATATCATAACAATGATTGAATGCAAGTCTCTTCCTCATTTTCTTTTAGGGGATAATGTACTGTTTTATAACAGAAAATACGTGTAGAGAAGTACAGATTAAAGTATGTGGATTCCATTTTTTTAATAATATAAAAATAACGTGGGGTGAATAGTTAGCTTTCATTTCCACGTTTGACTGGGCTAGTCTTATAAGGTACATAACACTCTTAAATAGCCAGTCAAGATTATCGTATGTTTTGCATTAGACTAAACTAGAGGCATTTGAAAATATTTTTCCAGGACTGTAAAATATGAAAGATGGGAAGACTGATTCAGCACTCACTTCCACAAGTATAAATCAGTAATCACTCAATTTAGGTGATTGGAGTTACACACATACAAGGACACGGCCCCTCTCAGAAACAATTTAAACCAGTATTATCTATATGTTTAAAAAAAAAATCCTGCAATATGTATGATTGCTACATGGAGGATGGAGGACTTTTGTTATAGCAGGCATCGTGATTTCATGAAGCTATCTTCCTTTCTTTGCCAGCAACGAATGGAGGAAGATGGTTCTTAGAAAGCATTTAATTTAATGTTGGGTATGCTTCTACAGGGACTGCAGGACACCATGCTTTTCTCAATTAATTCAACTGAAGGAGTCTTTAAAAATAAGGTTAAAAATACATTAAGTATATATATTATCTCGCTTTTTTTGGCAGATACGTATAAATAGAAGAGATTTGCAAAAGAATAAAGAGGTGAATTTCTCATTGCAGTTCCTCCAGTATAAATCCAGAGGAGCTCTACTGAATTCAGAGGCATTACCTTAAAGTTAAATTCACTCTGGATTTCTACCAGTATAGCGGACAGGAGAACTTGGTGCAATTTACTGTGAAGCAACGCTTACTGAACAGCTGTGTATGTCTATTTGTTTCCATCTTGAATGTGAATGAGTGATAAAAAAAAATTTAATCTACTTTGTTATACTTATTTAGAATTCCATGAAGGTGATGTTCAAATGCCTTTGGAAGAACTGTGGAAAGGTACTGAGCACAGCTGCAGGGATTCAGAAACACATCCGGACCATTCACCTTGGGTAAGAGGCCAGCTGTTCACAAGCCACAAGAAATTTAGTACCGATTGGGGTTTACTGAATTTACCCAAATTCAGTATGACTGAATTTAAGACAACCCCCCAATAATTAGATTATTTACATAGAAAATGTATTAATTTATTATACTTCTCCTTGTACAGGATCTAATTATTGGGGGATCATCTTAAATTTCATGCCTAGTTGTGATCCAAAATGCTGGCTGGAGACAGTGTATGCCTTCATTGGAAGACATATGACTGCAATAAAGTGCAGCACCCAATAGAGAAACTTGAGCTAGCTTGATTGGAAGTAGTGCAGCTTCATAAGCACAGCACTGCACCTGGGACATTACCACTACTGAGTGCTGCACTGATGCAATTATACAGGTTCTAGAAGGGGGGGCACAAAATGCAGCCTGGGGGCCGGATGTGGCCCACCAGGCCATTCTATCCGGCCCGCATGGCCCCTAAAAAATTTAGAAAATTAATATTTAACTGCCCTGGGCTACCTGTCATGCAGCCCTCGATAGCTTGCCAAAACTCAGTAAACGGCCTTCTGCCGAAAATAATTGCCTGCCCCTGTTCTAGAATGAAATCTAATATCTGTGCGTAACATTGCCAGTAACATCATGAGGGTATGGGCAACCAGGGCACCAGCTCTGAATGCACCCACACAGAGGCGGAGCAAGAACAGCTGTCACCACCACTGCTGATCCAGTTGCCACCACCCCTGTGGCCCAGAGTGTAGAACCTGGTAGTTGTACCTCCAAGCACTGCAGTGTGCGGTATAGACATACAAACTTGTTTGGAGTTAGTATGCATAGCTACACAGAGCTCTGTATTGCCAGAAACTGGTTATTTGAGGAAGCTATTTTCTAGCACTTTCTTTTGGTACAAGCCAAAAACATGGTGATGAACACAGCTAATACCTTTAATAAAAGTAGCCTCTGTCTGAGACTTATTCTAGGGCTATATAGACCTGAACTAAAGACACAGGCTACGATGAGGTCATTTACAGTGTGAATTTCTAGATGTCAGCTACTCCATGGTACCTACTTGTTCACATGCTACTACAATGCAATAAATGCAAGGTGGCTTGCCTTCTTTCATGGCTTGAAGAAGCCTGACTATGAGTCCTTTGTTTTCAAGGCTGTGTAAGATGCATCCCTTGCTCCTGCCAGCCTTCCTGCAAGTGAGTAAGAGTTTATGTGGTGCTTATAAAGGAAGTAGAGTGCTTAAATGTAATATATTTTTATGTATTAGTTAACATCCGGGAATCAAGGTTCACAGTCTTGATTTAGTAGAGTAATTTCAGTGTTCTTTATCTTTCCTTCATGTAGACGAGTAGGAGAGTCTGACTACAGTGATGGAGAAGAAGATTTTTATTATACAGAGATCAGACTTAACACAGACTCAGTAGCTGATGGCTTAAGCAGTCTTTCTCCAGTCTCTCCATCTCTAGCATCTCCTCCTTCTTTTCCAACCCAAGATGTAAGCCGTCCTGAAACATCATGTGCCAAAACTGAGACTAAAGTGATGACACCTCTGAGCCGCTCAGCTCCTACCAATCTCTACCTCGTACACACGGACCATGCTTACCAGGTAAAATGGTGACAATGATCACACCTCTGCCCAAGTTTAACAAACAGAGGGTCTTTAGACAAAGTGGGATAATTTTTCTTCCTTTTTTTTTGTAAAAGACACAGTGGGGCAGACTGTTACTGTCTGCTCTACAATGGATTTTTCTGCAAGATGATTCCCAAGGACTGCCAGAAGCCATTTCATTTTTTATTTATCTATTGTGGTATAGAGAACTCTGCATATGTGGGATAAGACGGAAAAAATATAAAAGGAGAATATAATCTCCTTTACTCTTACTAGTAATTCTTTACAAATGGCAAAGATCCAATCAGATTGCAGATGCTGGTAAGAATGCTTCTTACTTAATTCAAATACTATGCATTAATTGTAAAAATAAAATAACATGTTTTAAAAAGTAAATTATGAACATTTGAAAACTTGATTTTGACATGCTTTGATCTGCTGAATACTATATAATTTATAAGGAAAATAGAGGTTTTGTAGTAGTGTGGTCTATGAAGTGCTTATGAACACAATAAGTGAACACTTGTTAAATTTATTAAACCTCATGATGTTCCTGTATTGTATTTTCAAACATGCTTAACATCACAACATGCTTAACAAAAAAGAATACACAAGAACAAAGGTAGTATATGAAGTTGGATTTATTGTCACCAGGTTTAGAATTTTTAGAAACCTATTTTCCATGAAAAGCAACATTTATGATTATTAAATATATTAATATGCAGTGTGTCCTGCCATGTACCCCCTGCCTCAGGTTTGTTTTTCTGTCATGCTGGCAGTCTGGCACTTTACAAGGTAGACGTAGCAGTTTTTTCAGCACTCCAGCCAAAAACATTGCCTACCCCTGCTATAGAATATTATGGAGTGACTCTCTTTAAATATCTTTGTGAAGCTGTTTTAGCTTGTATAAAACACACTGACACATTTGGCCTAGAACAGTGGTTTTCAACCTTTTTTCATTTGCAGACCCCTAAAACATTTCAAATGGAGGTGTGGGCCCCTTAGGAAATCTGTTTTGTGCACAGCAAACATAAATAGATAATTACTGACAAACTGTTGTGTTAAAAATAAAAATAATATCAACAACAGCAATAACAATAACACAATTTTGTGAACTCACTATCTTGCCATCAGTTCTAATCAGATAGTTGATCTTGCTTCTTGGCAGAAAGTACGTGAAAGTTTGGTAGGATAGGTGACAGTTTGAGTCTTAGATCTCCCCAACATCCATTTTGTTTCAGTATTTTGTTTTAATCAATACTAAAGCTGAAAACCCACTTTCACATAAATACGTGGTGGTGAATGGCATCAAGACTTTAATGGCCTTGTCTGTCAGATCAGGATACTCCTTTTTTATTTTTAACCAGAAACAGACAAAAGGTTCCTTCTTGAATTCAAGTTTCAGTCCCCTGTCACAGGATAGCTCAAGTAACTGCTCTTCTTTAGCTGTTAGACAGGCAGTTTTCTATCCACCTTACAGTCCATTCATCCAGCCCATATTTCCTTAGCTTGCCTAAGAAAATATTGTGGGAGACTGTATCAAAAGCCTCGCTAAAATCAAGGTACACCACATCCACCAATCTCCCCACATCAAAGCCAGTCACCTTGTCATAGAAGGCAATCAGATTAGTCAGGTATGACTTGCCCCTGGTGAATCCATGCTGACTGTTCCTAATCACCTTTTTCTCCTCCAAGTGCTTAGAAATGGATTTCTTGAGGATCTGCTTCATGATTTTTCCAGAGACTGAGGTGAGGCTGGCTGGTCTGTAGTTTCCTGGATCCTCCTTTTTCCCTTTCTTAAATATGGGCACTATGTTTGCCCTTTTCCAATCATCTGGGACCTCTCCCTCATTGCCATGAGTTTTCAAAAATGATGGTCAGTGACTCTGCAATCACATAAGCCAACTCCCTCAGCACCCTCGGATGCATCCCATCCAGTCCCATGGACTTGTACACATCCAGCTTTTCTAAATAGTCCCTCACCTGTTCTTTTACCACTGAGAGCTGCTCACCTTCTCCCCAAACTGTGCTGCCTGGTGCAATAGTCTGGGAGCTGACCTTGTCTGTGAAGAATGAGGCAAAAAATGCATAGAGTACTTCAGCCTTTTCTGCATCCTCTGTCACAAGGTTGCCTCCCCCATTCACTAAGAGACCCACACTTTCCCTGATCATCCTCTTGCTACCGATATACTTCTAGAAACCCTTCTTGTTACCCTTCAGATCCCTTGCTAGCTGCAACTCCAACTGCACTTTGGCCTTCCTGACTACACCCCTGCATACCCAAGCAGTGCTCTTATATGCTTCCCTAGTTATTTGTCCGAATTTCCACTACTTATAAGCTTCCTTTTTGTGATGTAGTTTACTGAAGAATTCCTTGCTAAGCCAAGCTGGTCTTCTGCCATACTTGCTAGTCTTCCTGTGCATCAGGATGGTTTGTTCCTGCACTCTCAGTAAGGCTTCTTTAAAGTACAGCCAGCAATCCTGGACTCCTGTCCCCCTCAGTGTGGCTTCTCAGGGGATTCTGCCCATGAGTTTCCTGAGCGAGTCCAAGTCTCCTTTTCTGAAGTCCAGGGTCCTTTCTCTGCTGTTCTCCATCCTTCCTTTCCTCAGGATCCTGAAGTCTATCATCTCATGGTCACTGCTGCCCAAGTTGCCATTCACTACTACATTCCCCATGAATTCATCCCTGTTTGTGAACAGCAGGTTAAGAAGAGCATGGCTCCTAGCTGGCCGCTCCAGCACTTGCACCAGGAAACTGTCCCAACACTCTCCAGAAGCTTCCTGGCTTGCCTGTGCACTGCTGTATTGCCTTCCCAGCAGATGTCAGGGTGAATGAAGTCTTCCATGAGAACCAGGGCCTGTGATCGGGAACTTCTACTAGCTGTTTGAAGAAAGCCTCATTTACCACTTCCTCCTGGTCTCATAGTCTATAGCAGCCCCTCACCCAGCATCTCCCTTCTGCTCACCCCTCTGACCCTAACCCAGAGACTCTCAACAGGCCTATCTCCAGTTTCATACTGGAGCCCTGATCAATCTTTTACATAAAGTGCAACTCCTCCTCCTCCTTTCACCTGCCTGTCCTTCCTGAACAGTTTGTACCCATCCATAACAGTGCTCCAGTCATGTGAGCTAGCCCACCAAGTCTGATGCCAGCTGTCCCACCAAGTGCCATGACTGTGCAAGGACTTCTAGTTCTTCCTGCTTGTTTCCTAGGCTCTGTGCATTTGTGTACAGGCACCTTTGGTAACTAGTAGATTGCCCTGATTTCTCAGGAAGTATGAGAACACCTTGCCTGTTGCTCCCTCTTGTTTGCTTCTCTTCCAGGTCTCCTGCTTCCCCACTTACCTTAGGGCTTTGGTCTCCATTCCCTGGCAAACCTATTTTAAAGCCCTCCTTATTAGGTTAGCAAGCCTGTCTATGAAGATGCTCTTCCATCTCAAGTTGTTTTCTTTTACTCTAGAAACCCAGAGTTGAAAAGCTTCTTGATGAAAGCTATTAGGTACGGTCCCTTGCATACACAGGCAGCCTTTCACCCAGGGATTCCCCCAGATTGTCATGCCACACCGTCACACATTCACATGTATTAGATGTGCTCTGAAGATGAAAAGTTGGGACACAGACTGAGCTAGCAGAAATCCCCGTACCCCACCAGACTTTTGCTGGTAGACTCCCATCAGTTTTATAGGACCTAATCTTTCACTAAAAATATGTGCAATTTTTATAGTTCAAAATAAAGCTTTCCGTAGGTGCTTCATTTCCAAACTCTCTCTCTCTCTCTCTCTCTCTCTCTTTCTCTCTCTCTCTCTCTCCCCAGGTTCTAGATTGATATTGCCAAAGGGCAATGGGGTGAAAGTGTCATTGGGTCCCATGTAAAGCAGCAGTGGTGGCAGGATGAGGTAAGGCCCAGTTCCACTCTACCTGCTGGGGTTGGGCTGCCTACTTGCTAGTGTTCAGGCAGCCTCTGGCTGTCAGCAGCAGCGGTTCCTCTAAGTCAGGGATGATGTCAATCAGGCTTGATGGGTCCTCAGGTGATTACAGCCTCTGGCTGTAGGAAGAGCTGAATCAGCAGCTGCACTGGCAGCACTTCACTTAGGGCAGGCAGTGACAATGTGTGGGGGTGCACAGGGGTGCACGTGCACCCCCTGACAGCCAGTGTTCCCCACTTAGATGATGGACAGGGGGGCAGGCGGGAGCACTGGTGCCCCCCTGGGAGCATCAGCCAGGGAGTGGGGGTGTCAGGAGAAGTGCCCCTGCCACTTCCCCTGCCACTTCAATAGATTTCATAGACATTAGGGCTGGAAGGGACCTCGGAAGATCATTGAGTCCAGCCCCCCGCCCAAAGGGCAGGAAGTCAGCTGCGGTCATAGGATACCAGCAAGATAAGCATCCAATTTGCTCCTGAAGGTGTTCAATGTAGGTGCTTGAACTGC